AAGACCATTGTTTATCAAATGATTTCTAATATTTTCAAAATAAGTCCTGCCAATTCCCAACATATTGAGATAAGTTTAGTGACAAAGAAGTGTATTGTGGTCTCAGTGATAGAAAGTTCTTTTATTAGATCCAGTTTTCTTTTTAAGGCATCTGCTGGTGCTTATTAATCCCCCATCCATTGCTTTAAGTTGGGCCATTAAAAATACGTCTTGTTCTACTTTAGAAAGAGCTTGAAAGGATTCTCTTAATTCAGCAAATTGTTCTTTGGGAATTCTTGAAGAACAATCACAATTACATCCTTTTTCTAAAAAATCAATTGCTTTTTGATATTCATTAGAACCATTATATTTATTATTACTTTTCATATACACTTATCCCTATATATAATTTTATGTTCACTTTGTAGTTTTCTCATAGTTGATTTAAAATTGAAGTATATGAATAGAATTAAATTTAGATGAACCAATGAAATAAATAGTTTAGTGATGGTGGCCGAAACTACCTTACATAGTGAGCCGAAGTTGCTGAAATTATTTGGCTTAAATTCAGGCAAAACTAATTTTAATAATGGCCGAAATTGGGCGAAATTATTTTTAAGTTTCTTAAACTAAGGCAAATTGATTTGGATATCCATTGTATGATTGTTATTATAAAAAATATTGGGTTACCATAATATTGGCCGAAATTATAAGGTGCCAATCAGTGTATGAAATTCGATGAACGGAGTGAGCGCGCAGCAAATGTGACATGAGATTTCGTGTGCTCACATTTATTATTATACTGGAGAATTAGATTTATATATGGAAATCAGGAACTAGAGTTTTTAGGCGATTTTTATGGAGAAGCTAAATGCATTTAGTGAAATTAAACAAGAATGGGATATAGTAAAAATTTATCTCCTGTCTTAAAAAAACAGTGAAATGGATTTTATTCAATTGTGGAAATGTATCTTGGATACTGACAAATTTTTTTCTTTTAGTTACCCAAATATAACTCTTTTAGTTAAAATAGCATTTATTATACCATTTCCCAAATGCATATGTTGAAAGAATATTTTTACAACGAATCTGATTAAAAATAAAATAAGAAACAAAATGAATATTGATACTTTGATGATTGTATTAAACAGACCAGAAATTGAAAAATTCAATTTTGAAAAAAGTATATAAGCATTGGGAAAGTAAAAAATCAAGAAGAGACAGTTGCGAAAATTAATTTATTTTTATTTTTTTTTTTAATAAAATGTATAAAATGTTCAATCAAATGTGTGCAAAAAGTTTGTCACATGACGAATTTCATACACTGGTGCTAATTTCAGAATTTTATAAATTTTATTATACATAGAATTTTCAAACTTTAACCTGACATGACTCTTGTTACACTGAACTTATTTAAAAAGGTTCAACGTAGCTAACTCAATAGCTCTTAGCTAAAATAATCGACTAACATTGTTTTTTTGTCAACAAGTACATGGGAATTTGATCCATATCAATTTTAAGAAGACCAATTATTTTAGATATATTATTGTTACACGCACTAATACATAACAATAATAGAATCATCCAATCAAAAAAAAAATTTTTCAGAAAATACATTACGTGACGTGTCACTCAACAGATTAAAAAAAAAACAATGAAAATAAACCAAAAGTGCAAATAAACATTAACTGACCCTGGTAACTATTTCAATAAACTCTTATGTGAATTTCTCTAGATTCTAAATATGATATCAACTAACACTGCTTGGATTTTTAAGATTATTGGACCAGTGTTTCAACCCCCAACCTTGGAGATTTCCTGGAATATCGTCAGAAATCCACATTTAACCTTGATAAGGAAAAAGAACATTCACGATACAAGTCAGATCTTATGCGAATTGCAGAACACTATAATTCTGGAACACAACTACATGAGAAAGTAACAAAAGCTTTAAGAAAAATGAAGGTATGTACATATTCAAGGGTGTCTTGCTAAGCCACATTGTCAACTACTGTTATGAATTTCGGTTTGTGATGGGAAAGGTTTCGGCTCTGTTGACAACTCTGTAGTGTTTATGCTAGTGCTAGCATACTATCAGCTACTGTTATGAGTTTCGGCTTGTAATGGGAAAAGTTTCGGCTCTGCTGATAAGCACATACACCCTTTTCTGGGTCATGTGGATGCTCGTGTCTCTAACTGTGTACTTTACATATTACAAGAAAGCCTTTATACCACAGCATACTCATCATTTATTCTTTTTTGCTTTGTTATTTTCACTTGCTACCTGTAAAGTTGGAGGCAATATCCGATAGGGTAAAGAGCTTCTGGAACAAGAATGAGGAAGCAAGTAAATATGAAGCTGCAAAATTAGCTGAGGAGAAGAAAATAGAGTTTCTCAAGGTATGCAAATACATATCATATTACAGTCAATGCAAGACCATATCAGTGATGTTGGCAATAGTAATCCATATGAAATTACATTTGTTACAATGTCAATTTTGATTTAATAATTGTTAAATTAATGACTGTTGTCTGTCTTAATATTTTCTTTAGGCACGCAATGCCACAGAAACATATCAAAGTGGCCATGAACATCTTATAAGAACATCAGCAATTGTTTCTAAGATTAATCTACACGTGCTTGAAAATAGTATTGAACCTGATAAAAGCAATATTAATACTGAAGAATCAGAAGAAATTTATGAACTAGAACCTGCAAGATCATCTGTTACTATACAAAAGAATGAAGAGTACATTTACAAAGAACCTATAACACCATCTACTAAGGACAACAAAAAATCTACAGAGGAGTTAGTTATCAATTACAACAGTCATCCAAATCTTAAAGCATATTGTAGGATCCTTGAGTCCTTGCAAAATCATCATATTGAAGAAAATTCACAATGTGCACGACATTTGATCAAGATGCTCAAGTGGTCTTGTGTTGATTATGAACTTTTTTTAGCAACTGAATGGGAAGGGAAATCACAATCAAGTTCTTTTTCTATACCACGAATCAGCCTTCAGCTTGTGTCTACTGTCTTTCTCCAGCACAACAACAACAAATTTCATTCTGTAGTCCAGATGCTTAAGAGTTTAATAAAAAATGGCAAGATTCTCAACAGTGATAGTAACTACATGTCATCTCTCATAAATATCCAATGGCCTTTCAATCAACCTAAAAAAAATTATAATGATATTGATGTACTCACAATTGTCTCAATAATTCCAACAGTAGCTCTTTATATGTCTACACCATGCAGAGGACCTGGGAGTGAACCATCAGAGAACCATGTTAAAGCTGAATTTTGGACAAAAATTCTCTCAAATGCTTTCACTTTATATAATTCCAGGTTTATTCCAGTATGGGAGTATTATCATCTTTTTCCAGGTCATGGAGGAGATGGTTCATCACGGTCTGACTTTGCTGCCATAGTAAACAACCAGACAAATGCACAGTTTCCATTTTTACTAATTGAGTTTGAGCAGAATGGATTCGAAAACCATAAAGATGAGGTGGTTATAGTATCAGAAGCTGTGCATGAATTCAATCGTATTTTATCATTGGGACATTTCCTAACAGAAGATGAAGTAAATCAAACATGCATGCATATTGGATTAGTCAACGGGACAAGCATTCGATTCAGTACTCTTGAACCTTTGTTCAACCAACAACAGTCAACTCTTTTATACATTCACACCAGGAATAAACTCACCTTAAATCTTAAATCCAATAACACTGAGACCGATATTGAGAATGTGTTGCAATTAATTTCATATCTGCGAGAAATTGTCTGTCAAGATGGAGTTTGGACTGAAACTGTGTTAAAAAGACAACCAGCAAAATTCAACCTCAATCTGAAAGCAGTACTTCCATCCCTCCCAAAAAAAGCTGTCAAATCTCGACCTTTTGGAACACAATTCACTCCACCACCTAAAAGAGTAAAGTATGATTTCTTGGAAATGTGTGAGTAGTTATATAGTTTCTTGACTGTACTGATATCTTATAGAGAATTTATTTTCAACTTAGAAAAATATTGTGGCAATTATGAAGTCATTTCAGATGTTTAATTTGGGAAGATAGATTTCAAACCTTCCTTAATAATAAATATTGCGCATATTGTTTATCCTGATTTTTATTTTTGCTGGTAGAAAAAGAATATGAAAATTTTTTTGAATAATCCCTGAAGTTTCTTTTGTGAGATAATATTCACTTTGTCTGGTTTTGTTGCAGCATACCCCATATATTTTTTTTAACAATACAAATTGGCAAACTTCGCACAATTACAAAACTCAAAATAACTCTTAAACTATATGTCATATTCAAATAAAAATTTATGTTTTAGATTCACTTTTTGATGCTCTTTAAACTAATAGAGAGCTTTTTACAATTTTACTTGCATAAAATTTTGTAACATATATTCGCAACTTTTACTTTGATTTTCTAGCTTAAAATAAATGCCATTGTTTATATTAAAATAAAAAAAAGGGCTCTATTACTTTATTGTCCTATTTCTCTAGTATGTTTTAAACTTAACTCGGAGGCAGTATCTCTATTCTTAAAGAGTTATAATCATTCAAAGTTTACTATTGAAAAAAAGATCGGCAAAAATTTGTCATATATATATGAAAATTAATATATGATGTGGGACACCTCATTCTATTATGTTTGAGTCTCTCTCCTGGTCAGGAAGAATCAACAAAATAATTGGTTGTTTTTCCACTTGTTTAAGCCGGTTTTGTAAATTGGAAAAATTTTTTATTATAAGGCTTTTATTTATAATTATTTATACATATGTATAATAAAATACGTAGAATGTAATAAAAATAATTTTACAAAAATTAACTTTTTTACTCAGAAATATATAATATATTTATATACGCACAAGTTATTCACCTACTTATTCGTTTAATTCAATCCCAAGTTTTTCTAAAACCGTTAGCTTTCTTTTCTCAACAGATATTTCTGGTTCTTCAACGTTGGAAGAAATAGTAGAATCATCATCATTATTATTATTTAAATCTGCTGCTATATTTTTTTGAGATTTATCATATTCTGTAATTAGATCATTTAGATTTTTTGGGATTTTATGATGTTGTTCTTGATTTTGTGCTAGGCTCATTTCTTTTGCTAATGCAATTTTTTCTTCATCTGCTATATTATGATATACCAATTCTTGATCTTCATTTAATTCATCATTTTCAAAATTGAATTCTTCGGATATTGTTTGTCGTGATAATAATAGTCGAGATTGTCGAATTAAATTAAGAGTTTTGACACATTTAACAATATCTATTATGTAGTGTTTTAGTATTTATTTAGAAATGTATTTGTGTTATTTACATTATTCATTTATAATTAATTATTATTGTTTCATTTAATTATTTAAGTAAATAAATAGTTACCTTCAGAATTATCTTCTTTTACAACTGGTTTTCTTTTTGTAGGATCAGTAGATATCGGCAATGGTGGTATTGGTGGTGGTGGTGGTAATAATATTTTTGCATTCATTATAATTTCACTAACATACTTATCACCCCCAACTAATCAAATATATTTTTTTGAAATTTAGATAATCTTATAATAATTATAATATTAATGATCATAATCATAAGTATGATACTTTACACATTGATTCTTCGAGAGCTTTTTCGATTTGTTCCAAAGGAAATTCTGAAGATTCTGAAAAATATTTTTTTAATTTCTCTTGTAAATCTCTTTCAGTTTTCTATCGTAGACAAATATAAAATTAATCGGGGGCTAATTTTTATTTTGGTGGGAAAGGGAAGTAAAATACACTCGTAAAATGAATCACATACATTCATTAATTCAATCTGATCTGGAGTTAGACATTCACCTGATCCATTGTAATATAAAAGCTCCAACAGAACCTCCGTAGCCATCTATATAATGGTACAAATAATAATATAGATATTTATCATATATTTTATTATTATAATAATAAGATCATTACCATTATTATAACTATTATCAAGATTAAATGTTACCTGTAAGGTGATTGATCTACATAAATGGTAATATTTACATAACAAAGTAAGAATAGTATGAACCAATTCTGATCGATAGTTACGATGCTGTTTACAAATATCAGAATGATTGTTATTTTGTCCAGATATCTTTATAGAAGGGACAGATGAAGTGGATCCATATTGTGTCACATTATCATCATCAACAAATAACGAGTGAAGAGATTTGTAACTATTAGGTATATGTTGAAATTCATCTTCTGTGTCGGAGGTAATATGTTTTAAATGTAACGATGTTACAGACGAAGTTAATGACAAAGAATCCATTGATTTTCTTCTATCACGTAATGAAAATGGAATATTGTTGGATGATGATGATGCTGTTGCTTGTAGGTTATAATCATCTAAATTTGACGTCAATGTGTTCTATTTATATCAAAATGTGACAATGAATAAAAAAAAATATATTAAATTACTCTTGTTTTTGATTGTCAAAAAACTTTTTAAAAAGGAGAATATATTTTATATACCAATAGACGACGAGTTTTTAGTAATTTTTGTGGATAGACATCAGTGGCAATTAATACATCAGGTGCAATTGCATGGTTTCTGCATGACATATACAATAAACAGAGAGCAGGTAAAGTGTTTATATCAAAATAATCACAATCCTCAGAATCTTCAGGTATCAAGAAACCCATAATGGCTTCACGATAAAGATTTCTATAAATATGTATGCATGTGAAAATCTAATAATTTTAATGCCGACAAAAACATTTATCAATTGAAAGTAAACGAAATTGTTTTTTTGTTACCTTGATTTGAATGCAGCAGATGGTAACAAATTATTAGGAGTCATTCTTGCTGGCGATAATGGATAATCCATCATCTTAGGACTATTTGAGAAAAGCATAGCTATTAAGGCGGTAACTAATTTCGGATATCGAAATATATGTAAAACATGGCATAGTAATGCTAATGCCACAACTGGATTAACCCTTGACGTCTATTGTTTTATTGATGATTAAAAGATATAAAATATTAATGAGAGATATTACAGATAATATTAATAATGTGATCGATATATTCTTTTTATTACCTGATTGTAAGGTAACAATTCTTTTTTGATTAAACTGTCAGCATAGATTGGTTGTAATAAAAGATCCATTAAATGAACCGTTAAGATTTCATTCATTTTAAAATTTTCCAAATGTATAATATCATTTATATAATAAAAGTTGTCACAATGTTCTGCCAAATAATAATTAAATTTTTGATATTGTTTTTCATAACTAAGTAAGTAATTATTCAATAATGACATGTTAATCAATATTGCAAATAAAACAATAATATATATATTATAGGATAGAATAGAATAGAAAACTTACTTTGGTGAATAACTTATTTTGTTCAAAATAAAAGCATGATCTGAAATAAAGTTGACTAAGTTTGAAAAATAGGGTGATGCTTTAGGATCCAATATTAAATCATGCATTTGAGAGTCATTTACTATTATTAAATCATTAATATTAAATTAATACGAGTATAAATGAATATTATTATTGGAAAATTTTGATCAAACCCGGTGATATTTAAATTAATAAAACTGGGAATAAATACCAGCAAATATATTTAATGTTATAGTCCTGACAGCAACACGTATCATACTTTCGTCAGAATTAAAGAATTTGATGGCTTCAGAGTATCTTTTTTTAAATTAAAAAAAAAACTTTTTAACAAAGCCAAATCAAAATAAGAGCTCATTTAATAAAATTATTACTTACAAAGGAAAATCACTTGATTGCTATAATTATATAGAATATGTGTGATATAACCATTAATTAAATAATTTACAAATCAAAATCTATCAATATCACATTAATGAAATTTATTCTTACCTCATTAAAGAAGAAATAAAGTGTGTTTGTATCAAGTTTGAAGGATAATGTACGTAATAAATAAATATAGTATGCTAAAATCTCTTCGTTAGAAAAATCAAATTTATGCCATACAATACTATTAACATAGTTATTGGATAAGAGAAAATCTAGATAAATAAATTGAATTTATTGGGGTAAATCAATGTATGTTTGGCACTAGTGTTTATTAGTGGCGGTATTAATTAATATCAATAAATTAAAACTTACACAGTGAAGTTAAATCATGAATATTTTCGAATAATATATTCATAGTTTGAAGTAATTGTTTTGTGACTGATGGGCTCTTGGTATGTTCCAGTATTTTTAAAAATATATAATGAATATCGTGTTCAAAGAAATATCTATAATAATGATAGCAATTAAAGATTTGAGTTTAATTAATAATGATTATTATTATAACAATGACTATAATAAATATTACTCGAGTATCGCTGGCTTATGTTGATCACCTAATTCACATTCATTACAATAGCAATAATAGCAATGATAGTAATGATATGTTAACATTACATATAACACTAATAACATCAATAATAATAAAAGATTAAATAACAAAACTCACCCCAAATTAATATTTGTGTCATCTCTTTCATCGTTTCAACTGTTCCACCTTCATCTTCATTAACTGAATAATTCTTTAAATATGTGCTTAATTGTCTAAATTATTAATTTATGGTGAAAATAAATATGTAAAAATATTCAATTATTTTTTAAAATTCGAAATTCTGAATAAAGCATTTCAGAATTACCTCAAATTCTCTAGTGAGTACTTTTCGACCTTTGGTGTTCTATCTCCAAAAAAACCAAAGAAAGTCGAGTTTTCAGAATTTGACTTAATCTTATTATTAACATTATTGTTGGAGTAATAATTGCTCATAAAAGAATTATTAACTGAGGGTAGCCAACTCCAATTCAAGTAACTACTCATTTCAATATTTTATTTAATTTTGTCTTTATTAAAACTAACAACCGAACATAGGAATTGATTTTTTAAAATTGTACAGAAAGCCCCAAAAACTATAGATAGGTTACCCTAAATTTTTCAATGTTATTTATTTTGTTTTACACAATGGGGCGGGCGTCCTTATAATATATTTCGAGAAACAAGATAATAAGGCAAAGCAAATTAGAAGCAGTGCTCATCAAATAGTATGTATTAGTATAGTTTGATATGACGTAATTTTGAGGGAGAGGGGGTTTTGGTTTGAAACAATTTGAAAAGCTATCCAAAAAAATCGGAAGCAGGTTTAGAATTTGTATAGTTTCCATATGTTGATCTAAGAGTATATGTTTCTTCTAAAGCAGCAGGTTTTAGAGTAGAAGAATTCATTATTATTTTCAAACTGTAATGTCATTAATATATGTAGACCAGGATAAATATGATAAGATTTTGTTTAGATAAAAAATAATCATTTCTCATTAATGAAATAATTGATAGTTTTTTTTATTTAGAAGTTGTGATTCTGACACTTCATGTTCATTGGTTTTTAAATGTCTTTTAATTCCTTCTTGACTTAAATCTGTTATGCCTAGTTTACTTCCATTTCTATCATACATGCTTACCAAAATTAATTCTATTAATAAACGATCATTGCCAAATTCAAATGCCAAAATAGCTTTTCATAATAGCTGATTAACTTTAATAGTGGCCAAACTTAAAGCTCTGAATGGGCTGGGCTAGCTTGAAAGTTTTTGGGCTGGGTTTGGGTTGTTGACTGTAGTTGGGACTGAACTGAAAAATCTGAACCTAATCTGAAACCCAAAAACATTTTGGACTGTACCAATTATACTTGAGGTCAAAATTATTAAATCGCAATTAAAAATCCCAAAATTTTGTATTGCACCACTATCATAATTTTATACAATTGGCACGAGATGCAATTCATGATGCAAGTCTCAATTGATGGTGTAAATATACATAGGATGGTAATTACCTAATCACCGTAAATAAGTAATTCGTAATTAACGTAATTAATTACTATTACCACTTTCACTCTTTAAAAACGTAATTACGAAATTAATTACGGGTGACGAAATAATTACGGGCGATGAAATTAATTAGGGGCGACGAATTAATTACTATTGTGAAAATTTTATATGCAAACACTACACTGGTTAACAAATGTCAAAACTTTTGCTTTATACCAAAGCAAATAAACAAAACCTGAGTTCTATGCCAACAACCAAATGGACAATTAAACACACTGTTTAATTTCTGACTACAAAAGTGTTTTTATAAGTGAAACAATGAATTTATTTATTTTTACAAGTTAAATTAATGATAATAAATAAAATATTTCTGCCTTTACTTATTAGCAAAGCTCAATTAACCTGTTGTTTTTTTGGGTTAAAATCATTTCACTAATCTATATGTAAAATCATTCATTCATTAAATGTCAAATTTTTTAAAAAACCAAATTGAAATAATCTATCTCATCTATACATATTGTCAAAATTAATTTGGCTTTGACCCAATTCCAAAATCTCAATTAATTGCGTCAAAGAGTCACCTGATTGAGTCAAGTGATATTCTGCCACGTGTATAATCTCAAAGTATTAGTATCACAAAATTTAATCTAGTTGATGTCGAACCAAAAAGTTTAAGGACAAAAAATGAGTAATTCAGGTGAATTAGATGAAATTAATGAAACAAAAAAACGATCTGGTCAACCAAGTGAAGAAATTTGGGATTATTTTGAAGAAAAAGGAGAAAGAATAAGAGGTCCTTGTGGTGGAGTGTGCAAGTTTTGTGGCTGGGAGAAAAGATTAGCACAACCTAATGATATGAGAGAACATCTTGCTTTTTATTGTAAAGAAGTACCTTATGAAACAAGAAAACATTATTTATAAGTTATAAAAAATTATTCAATTTTAAGTAAGAAACAAAAAATTAACCAACAACCAAAAATTTATGAAAAATTTGAATCAACAAAAATCGACTCTCTAAAATAGATATGGCAAATCGTGCTATTGTGAAATTTTTCATATTGTTGAAAATCCATTTTTCATTGATCTGCTATGTACACTGTGTCCAGGCTATTCCCCCCAAGTAGACATACTCTTTATGTATCAATGCTTAATGTGGAGTTGGCATTTATAACTGGTGAAATTAATGATATGCTGAATGTTGAAACAAACCTTACCTTGGGTAATAATTGTATATATATATATTTATTTATTTATTTATTTAATTCTTATTAATACAATATTACTAACATCATTATGTATAAATTTTATTTAGCGCTGGATGGATGGACAAGTCCATCAGGTCAATCTCTTTACACCTTTATCATCATTACAAAAGACAGGAGAAATTGTTCATTTGATACAAAATTTGTCAAAAGAATCCCATACAGGTATATTCCTTTCAGAAAAAATAATTGAAGTAATTGAAAATGTAGGGGGTAATGAGAAGTTCACTGGTTTGGTATCTGACAATGCTAGCATCATGGTCTTGGCAAAAAATTTAGTTCATCAAAATATGAAAATATAATTCCCATCCATTGCATTTCCCACCATATTAATCTTCTTACCACAGATATTTGTAAATTGGAATTTGCAAGGTCAATTTTAAAAAAATGCAAGATTTTTTAAAACTTCTCACCAAGCAAATTATCATTTAAAACAAGAAATAATTGAAAATATGATACAAGGTGGTGGCTTCAAAAGTTATTGCAAAGCAAGGTGGACAACTGCTTGGGATTGCACAGCTTCTGTCCTCAAATGTGAAAATGTTTTGAAAAAGGTTATTAATATTATATTTTTTATTTCAATTAACTCAAGTTAAATTAAATTAATTAAACCATTTGATTTTAGATTGCAGATGAAAATCCAGAATATCTAAATGAAGATATTAAGGCTATCATAACAAGACAATTTTTTATGAATGCTGAAGAATTAGAAAAAGTATTGAAACCAATAAAAGAAGCAGTGAAGTGTTTGGAAATGAAGTCAACAACTTTAGTGGATTGTTTTTGTCAATTAATAAAATTATCATTTTCACTAAAAAATCTACCAGAATCAACATCCACTTTCCGTAACCAATGTATCACTACCTTTGATAAAAGATGGAAACAATTCAATTTTGATTTGTTATCATATTTGCATCAGCTGAATAAGTTCTTGAAATATAAATATAGAAATATGAATACCATAAAGTCTGGAAAGATAGCACCCCTACTTTAAAACAATTGAGCGTCAATTTAAAAAAAATGTTACACATATGTAAAAAGGGGATGCTATCTTTCCAGACTTTACGGTATGAATAATTGTACGTGTGATACTGCGCAATATGTGGCGCTGTAGTTTTACAAAATAGGAATGATGTCGTTATCACGTGACTCCCGCAGTAATTTGGTTTGGTTGGATCGGCAACGTGGGGACCTCTCTATCGGACCTTATTTTACTATCTCACAATACAGTGGATAATTTTTTGGCTGCCAATCATTAAAATATTAATGTAGTCATAATAACATTCATTATATAATAGTAATATCAGGGTAGAAAAATAAATTTTATTTGTAATATCACCTATTGAAAGCAAGTGATGAGAGAATGAAAATTATAAGTCCAATAATTAACACTAAACAATAAATGAAAACATTTAATATAACATTGTCCTTTTCATCCACATCCTTTACATCCTTTAGCAAACAAATAAATAAACAGGCTGTATTTTGCTGCTCTTTCTCATTTCCTTATTT